TGGTTCATGTTCTTGGAACTAGGACTATAGTGCTGACTCTTTCTTCAGGGAAGACTCTCATATTGAAGGATGTGAAACATGTTTCCTTAATTGTTAAAAACTTAGTTTCTGGAAGCCTGCTGTGTGACACCGGTATGAGACTGGATTTCCAAGGAGGAAATGTTGTGTTATCTTTTATGAAAATGTATTTTGGTAATGCATATTGTATTGATGGTATGTATAAGATCAGTACTATTATACCCAACTCAGTTGTAAATAAAGTATCATCTTCTGCTTACTTCCATGTATTATGGCACAATAGGTTAGGACATGTAAATGATAGAAAACTGTCTAGCATAGAGAAATTAGGATTACCTTCAAAAAGTAGGGGTAACAAACCTGAGAAGTGTGAAGTCTGCTTGCAAGCGAAGCTGATAAGGAAGCTATTTCCAAGTGTCATAAGGAGCACCAACCTATTAAATCTGATTCACTCAGATACTTGTGATTTCAAGAGCTTTGTCGCTCGAGACGGCATGAAGTACATCATCACCTTCATTGATGATCATTCTCACTTCTGCCATGTCTACCTGCTAAAATCTAAAGATAAAGCATTCAGAAAGTTTATCGAGTTTCGGACTCGTGTAGAGAAGCATCTTCATTGCTGAAACTACGACTCCATATTCTCTGCAATCTAATGGGATTGCAGAAAGGAAGAATCGCATATTGACTGAGATGGTTAATTCCATGCTAATCATATATGGTCTACCTACCTGCTATTCGGGAGAGGTTTTGCTGATGGCAAACTGGATTCTGAACAGAGTACCATATTTCAAAACTGATAGTACTCCTCATCAGTTATGGTTAGGATATCCAGATCCTTTGGATAGTCCCAAAGTGTGGGGTTGTCTCGCATATGTTCGAGTTCCAAATATCACAAGGTCTAAGCTCAGACCAAAGGTAAACAGATGTGTGTTTCTTGGCTTTGCTGAAGATAGCGAAGCTTGCAGGTTCCTTGACCTTGGAACCAACTCCATCATTGAAGCTCGGGATGCAAAATTCTTTGAGAATAAGTTTATCAAAGATAAAGATTTATTGTTCAAAGATATAACAGAGAATGCTAGTACGTCAGATGCAGCAGAGGAGCCAGTTTCATAAGAAACCGAAAGTGTCAATGATGAAGGAGTTACCGAACCACCATCCTAGCATGTCAGGAGAGAAAAAGATTTTGGAGATGATTTCATCACCTATAATGTGGAAGAAGATCCATAGACTTTTCAAGAAGCAATGCAGTTAACAGACTGGAAAGAAGCTATAGGTGATGAGATGGATTCATTGATCCAAAATCATACTTGGGAGCTGGTGGATGTACCTGAAGGTGCAAGGCCTATCAGCTACAAGTGGATCTTCAAGAAGAAGTTTCGTCCTGATGATACTATTGAGAATTACAAAGCAAGACTTAGCAAAAAGATTCTCTCAAAAAGAAGGAATAGATTTCTTTGATATCTATATATCAGTTTGTAGGATCACTACCATCAGAGTATTTATCACATGGGCGACGATTAAAAGGTTTGTCATATATCAGATGGATGTGAAGACTAATGTGGAAGAAGATCCACAGACTTTTCAAGAAGCAATGCAGTTAACAGACTGGAAAGAAGCTATAGGTGATGAGATGGATTCATTGATCTAAAATCATACTTGGGAGCTGGTGGATGTACCTGAAGGTGCAAGGCCTATCAGCTACAAATGGATCTTCAAGAAGAAGCTTCGTCCTGATGATACTATTGAGAATTACAAAGCAAGACTTAGCAAAAAGATTCTCTCAAAAAGAAGGAATAGATTTCTTTGATATCTATATATCAGTTTGTAGGATCACTACCATCAGAGTACTTATCACATGGGCGACGATTAAAAGGTTTGTCATATATCAGATGGATGTGAAGACTATCTTTCTTAATGGAGATCTCACAGAAAAGATCTACATGGAAAAACCAGAAGGACTTGATGCTCTAGCTAGAAAAGTTTGTAAACTTGTTAAATCTCTATATAGACTTAAGCAGGCACCAAAAATCTGGCATGAGAAGTTCGATGGGTTGTTCGCAATAATAGGTATCAAGTCAGTGAGTCTGACAAATGCCTATACATCAAGACCACTGAAGGAAATGTGGTGGTTATCTGCCTCTATGTGGATGATATGCTTATCATCGGGAGTGATTTGAAGATAGTAATATCTACCAAGAAATTTCTCTCAGCACAGTTCAACGTGAAGGACCTTGGAACTGCAGATGTGATTCTAGAAATCAAAATCATGTACTCTGAAGATGGTATTGGATTGTCTCAATCTCATTATTTTGAGAGTATGCTAAAAAAGTATGGCTATTACGACATGCTAGAACTATCAGTGTCGTATGATTACAACAAGAAGCTTCGACCGAACACTAAAAAACCAGTAGAGCAACTAAGGTACTCAAAGATTATTGAGAGTCTTATGTACGCGATGAGCTGCACGAGACCAGACATAGCATTCACTGTAGGAATGCTTAGTAGGTTCACATATAATCCTGGAAAGCTTCATTAGGATGATGTCCAGAGATTGATGAGATACTTGAAAGGAACTATAGGTCTGGGCCTATTCTACATTGGATATCTGGCTATAATCGAAGGCTATTCAGATGCAAGTTGGTGCTCAGAACCAGATGAGTGCAGATCTATTGGAGGTTTTGTCTTCACCATGGGTGGAGCTACCGTCTCGTGGAAGTCTATGAAGCAAACTATGGTTGCACAGTCATCGATGGAATCTGAGTTCTTCCCACTCTATGCTGCGGGAGATGAAGCTGAGTGGCTCGGTTGTTTTCTCCGAGACCTTCCATTGACAGAATTACAATGCACAATTACTATCTATTGTGATAATCAGGCGGCGAGTGTTGTGGTAGCGAACTCGATGTTCAATGGAAAGAAGAGGATCATTCGCCTAAAGCATGGCTATTTGAGAGAACTCATTTGCTAAGGAGTCATCTCTGTGATAAGCGTCTGATCTTCAGAGAATGTGGTTGATCCTTTGACTAAAAGTCTGAAAAAGGACATAGTCAAAAGGACGTCTGTTGGAATGAGTTTTAAAGTTTTGTGAGTCTTACAAATACTTACCATTTACATCAAGTTATTAGTTCAAAGTTTACGCTACTAATGATAAGATGATTGGTTTAAAAGTCGAGTAAGATGTATAAAAGTTTGGTGAGTCTTACAAATACTTATCATTTATATCAAGTCATTAGTTCAAAGCTTACGCTACTAATGATAAGATAATTGGTTTAAAAGTCAAGTAAGATTTGTAACTGAAATCCTATCATGGTAAAAAGGATAGATGTTAAGCCTTAATGAGTCCAAAGCATTTCGGATGCGAGCTGTTGGATAGGTAACATGCCTAAAGGACTTACCAATGATCCTATCATGTAAAAGGGTTAGCTGTTAAGCCTTAATGAGTCCAAAACATTTTGGATGCGGGGTGTTAAATAGAAAACACGCCTAAAGGACTCACCTAGAATCCTATCATGAGAGATGATGACTCTTAAGACTTAATGAGTTCAAAGCATCTCGGATGCAGGATGTTTGGTAGGAAACATGCCTAAAGAACCCACATATGTCTGGATGGAGATTTGGCTGTCTCCTATGGTATCTTATGGAAAGATACTTAGATCTCTAGCAGAAACTAGAACATGCACAAGGCCATAAAATGTACAAAACAAAGGTAAAGACATAGCAAGTGTGGTTTAAAATAAAAACTACAAAAAATGAGTTTGATCTTGTGTGATCGTTAGATCTTAGACATGTGCTGGTTCAAGTCTCTCCAACACCAAGCATATATCTTTTATTCAGTTGGTCTAAGGGAGATTCAAGTCCTTACGACATCTACCTTATGCACAATGATTGAAACAATGACACCATTACACGACACTAGTTTAACAACTTGCCGGGGATTGTTAGATTTTTTTGGTCAAAACCGCTTTCCAAAATGAGTTTTCAATATATATATATATATATATATAAACAATGACACCATTACACGACACTAGTTTAACAACTTGCCGGGGATTGTTAGATTTTTTTGGTCAAAACCGCTTTCCAAAATGAGTTTTCAATATATATATATATATATATATATATATATATAAACTACAAGTACTTTTCATAAATACTTAGTAGCCTAGTGGGAAGTTAATGTTTTGGTGTTTTAAAAGGTCCTCTGTTCGAGGCTTGTCAACGACAAGCCGAGAAGTATTTTATTTTAATTAATCTCTCATAAGTTCTCATGGGTCGTAGGCTGTGGGTCGTGGGCTCATGAGTCGTGGGCCAATGGGCCGGATAAGTGGCGCTTTGTTAGGTGCACTTTGCACTTCGCACGGAGGCATCAGAGCTAGGTGGCGCCACGTTGGCTGCCACTATGGTCGCCTCGAAGGCTGCTTCACAGCATAAGGACGAGTTACGCATTCGCACAAGAGTGTGATCCTAATGTTCTTGAAATCAGACGAGGTTCATTGCGGTTCGTCTGATTCACAAGATCAGACGAGGGTTGCTCGTCAAACGAGGTTCGCTTGTTTGCCAAGGTTCACTCGTCAAATGAGGTTTGCCTGTTCGACAAGGTTCGCTCATCAAATGAGGTTCGCCTGTTTAACGAGGTTCGCTTGTCAAATGAGGTTCACATGTTTGACGAGGTTCGCTCGTTCGACGAGGTTCACTTGTTCGATGAGGTTCGTCCTATAAACGATGTTCGTCTAATTTGCTGAGACGTGACCCTTATGTTTCGTAGTAAGGCGTTCTTTGATTTCCTTGTATTCAGGAGTTACTGCATGTAACAGTTATAACAACATTTAGAGTAAGTTAATACATTGATGTTACAATCATAATTACCATTGCGAATTGTAATAGTCGCATTAATTAAGGGTGATTCTTGAGTTGGTCTTAGAGGCCTATAAATAGCGCCCATTGGGCAGCTCTTGTAGTTGGCTAGAGAACTTTGAATACAAATGTCGGATCGAGAAGATCTTGACGTTGTTGCTGCTGTTATGCTGTTGCTGCAGAAACTGTGCCCGAAGAAACTTGCCTTGAAATCAAAAGGTTTTAAACCGAAAGGTTCTGAGATCGATGAGATCTTTGCCTTGACAGAAAGGTCTATTAGATCGAGGAGATCTTGACAGTACTGGGTTGGTGCACACCAGAATACTGTACTACTATTCCTAAAAGCAGTTTGGCCTTGGGATCTTTGCACCGGAGTAGGCTAAATATTACTTTAAGCACAACGTTTAACAAACGCACAGCAGTTAACTTAAAAAAGTTTAAAATTACCACAAATCAACATTTACTGTTTTATTCCAGATTTAACCACAATCTCGAACAATCTTAAAGCAATATTATTTGATCTACTATAGATCATGCGAGGACTCTTGGAGTGGACTGTCTCTAGTTAGAGAATTTTAACGGATCCAACTTTAACGCATGGCGTCGGAAAGTGATTTTCGGGATGCAACTCTTGAAAATCTATTATGTGATTTTTGAGGAGAACCCTAAATTTGAAGATGACTCTGAGTCTAAAGCCTCTTGGGCTAAAGATAATCATTTTTGCATGAGTTATCTCCTTAACTGCCTGGCTGATCATCTGGCAGATGTCTACATGAACAAGCCCTCTGCAAAGGAAATCTGGAATGCTCTCGAGGAGCAATACAAGGATAAGGAGAAGCTTTCCATGTCTCACATCATTGATAAGTTCTTTGACTCCAAATTCGAAGATGGCACTAAGGTTTTGCCTCAAGTCAAAGAGCTCGAAAAGCTTGTTATGAAGCTGAAGGATGAAAAGATTAATCTTTATCAAACCTTTATTTCTGGAACAATTTTGAACAAGCTTCCTCCATCTTAGATGTCATTCTCCACGGACATTCGAAGAAGGAAAA